CCTACGGCCTCATGAGAATTTTGGCGGCTAAACTATTAACTAGGGAATCACGGGAAGATATTCACCTTTCAAGGTTTCGAATTCGGCTTTCATGCACTGGTGCGTGAAATTTTTAACTATTTTCCAGTTTTTGAACTATTTCTGCATAGACAAAAGTACAAAGCAGTGAAAATCATTAATAGACAATCGTTCGACGGGCTGAATTGCACAAAACGCATGATCGTATCGGCTAATCTGGTGAGCGTTGCTGTTTATTTAACATGGGAGCAGACATTAAAAATTAGCTTTCAGAAACTGTCTTATCGTTGTGGCAATTGAGATATGGCTGAGTTCGTTGAGGAGGGCATCGAAGGGTTGCTGCCGGCTTTCGAAGCGCTGCGTGATGTCCAACTGCTTTCACCAGCTGAACTGGAATTATTGCCGAAACGCTGCGTAGCATATGAATATCGTATTCAAAGAGGCGTAAGTTTCTTTCATCTCCTGCATACATTTGTTTCATCTTTGCTTGCCCAGTAAGTCTGACTAGCGATCTTTTCATTCTCGCTGTTGTTGCAAAAGGAAGAAGGTGCCAAAGCTGATGATCAGCTTTCCAATCGCTAGCGATTTAATACCTTAAATGTTTTGGAAATTTTTGAAAAATTTTTGAAAAATGTAAACTGTGGATGTTTGTTTGGCGCTACAGGCCAGCCGATGAAAGGGACACAGTTGAATATTGTCAATTGTGGGAAAGCAGTGAGTGCTAATTCAGATACCCAGATAAGCGAGCCTGTATGTGCATTAGCTGTTTACGCGATTTCGTAACATAAGTAATTCATGCAATTTTATAGCAAAGTTAGCTCATACGATTTTAAGCAATCCAGGCATAGAACAAGCATTTCATGAGATTTCGGAGCACAAGCGATTTATGATGTTGCTGATTGCAGAACAAGGATGTGGAATCATTTCGTGCCTATGTTGAGTATTTGAAAGTACTGATCAAGTTAATTCGTTTGCGAAGGAAGCGAATGAAATTTCAACGAACGAAGGAGAATGAAATCGAAGGCGTACTCAAAACCAAAATTGTCTCCTTGTATCGCCAGTGCTGTGAACGTTTCCAGGCAAGCCTTTTCGGCTTCTCATTTCAGCTACGAGTGAATGGTTTTGTGGATTGAACTAGAAAATGGAAAGGGTGTCATTGTCCTTATATACCGAAACTTCTTCAAAAACGTACCGGCTGCCGGTACGAGGATGCGTTTTTTGCACAGTTCCCCCGCAGGTTCTTTTCGCCAGTGGCACACTGTTCCCGGCAGATGCTTCTAGCTAAAAGAATTGGAACTGGTCACCACGGCTGTTAGAAATTATTACAATGACTCCCAATCCATGCCCAAAAAATTCGGCGCTCTTGATGCTTCGGTTGCGGAGTTATGCCAAATTTCACGTGTTTGTACGTGAGTAGCAACGTGAGTGCTTTCTTCGCTTGCGATTATTTAAACACGCCCCTAGGTAGCGCTCAGAAAGTTTCAGTACCCGAGCTACTCTGGTTGCAGAGTTGCGTCAAATTTCGCGCGTTCGTACGTGAGCGGCAGCGTGAATGCTTTCTTCGCCCGCAATTGCTCAAGGACGGTTCTGGGTAGCGCTCAGAAAGTTTCGGTACTCCAGCTGCTTTGGTTGCGGAGTTATGTCAAATTTCATGTGTGTACACGTGGAATGTACGTGAGACGTGAAAGTGATGTGTAAGTCGTTTTTGCGTGCATCTGGTCGAAGACCACCATCGGTCATACTCAGAAAGTTCAGGTCCTCTGGCTGGTTCAATTCTAAAGTTACAAATGCGCATGCGTGAAATTTTCGCATGTTCGTACGTGGGATGCAGAAGAGCTGACAAGTAATTTACTTTCACGGACACAACAGTGGGTGACAAGTAACGCTGCAGAATTGCAGCTCTCTGCAGCTTATTGATCAGCTTAAATCTGGAGTTGGAGTGACGCCAGCTTAAACTTTGACGTGTGCGTACGTGAGTCCTGAGGAAACGTGAAGGCTGAATTTGAAATGTTTGGATTAGACGCGGCTAAGGAACAACGCTGTGAAGTTTCAGCCTCCTAGCATGGGCCGTTCCCGAAAACGCTTTCCCTCCAAAAATACTTTCACGTACCCTTACGTGAGAACCACGCGGACCTGAGCATCCATATTGAGGATATGAGCCCGCACATATATGTAGATTAAATCACCAAATTTTCAGCCTTGTAGCTTTTGTAGATTTCGAGATGAAAACTCGTTACAGACGCACACACAGACACACACACATACATACACACAGACAACCCCTTGACAATATGCGTTTTTGCATTGCATAGCTGCAAAAAACGCATAAAAATTGAGAAAAATCAAGTAACTTGCAGAATCAAATTCTAAAGATATATATGTTTTATACTTTCCTCTTTTGCCTTTTTTTAATTCATTTTTCTTCTTTTTGTTAAGTACGCTTGTCATTACCACAACCATCATACTGACGAAGTACAGCTGTGGCAAAAAATAGGAATGTACACGATTTAATGGGCTGATTTCCCACACTTATTTTCCGAACTGTTCTTCTATATACCTGAATAATATAAATCACTTACCGCTAATATAAATCACTTCCCTGCACCTTTTCAGAATAATCCAAATTCTCTTAAACTATATTCATTTATTAAAAAAGCTAATTAACTTAGTGAAAAAATATATCAACGAAAATTGCTGGGCATCTTTCACCTTGAATGCACGAGAACGAATAACATTAAATTTCGTGAAAAAAGGAAGAAACGATCCAATGATGTTGCAAGAGCTAAAGAGAAGACACCCCTTTTGAAGCGGGTGATATCTAACTATCGCTACTGGTAGCTTCACGGGAACAGCCATTTTTGTTAACATCCCACGGCAATTCTATCTCCGGTGCGGGTAGCCAAAATGTCTATTTCAGCGCAGATTACCCATTACGCGAGTACCGATGAGTGCGGATACTGTCTTGCAAATCTTGTCATACCTCGTCTCTGCTTCCCTCTATCATCCGACTTGGAGGGAGGAAGGGAAGAGGAGGTAGCGAAAAGCTGGTGGCATTCTTTTTGGTTATGAGCAAATTGCAAATTCTTTCATAAGTTGAAAATTCTTTCATGCTGGGTTGAAAATTTTCCAGTTTCGATTTTGTGACTTTTGGATTATTTTACCTTCGTTGATTGCAGCTACTGTTAATTATTCCTTGTTTAAATGTATCCTCATTTTGTCCTTAGTTTTTTCAGCGACGAAGAGATATTTGGGAAGAAAGGATTGAATTTCTGCGAGGCGAAAAAATGTATACAAAATGCAGTAAAGCGTTTTTTAGTGCCATGCAGGTTCGTTTTTTGTTTTTTGCATCCATGCAGTACTAAAACCCATATCGTAGGAGGTTTGCCTGTTTTCTTGTGTGTGTGTGTGTGTGTGTGTGGTGTGTGTGTGTGTGTGGTGTGTGTGCGTGTGTGCGTGCGCGCGCGTTAACTTTTCCGCACATTTTTATGCATTTTTAAATTTTTGTGCAAAAAACGCATATTGTTGTCGTACAGTTGGCGGTTTATTTTTTTCTTGTATGTGTATATGTACTCAGATTTTTGTTGCCCACATTGAACTCAGCAGCCGCAGAAACTGAGAAACAGGAATTTTACAGGTATGTTCCTAGCCCATATGCCATTCAAACGGCTTAAAATCAGTGGTTGTTCATACCGGTTTCTCACATGCGGACACCTAAAACAACTCATGCAAATTTTTTGGCGGAAAGGCGATTCCAAAAACCCGAAAAAATGGAAGACTGAAATTTCACGGGGGTGTTCTCTGTTCTTGTGTGAGCTTAATATTCCACATACAGCTTTAAGGCACATCCACGCCACATTTACAAGCACGTCAGAGACGAGGTTTCATCTCTACTGGCAAATTGCCGATTCGGGAATTAAGTTTTGCTTTTCATACATGTGCATACAGGTGCAAAATGAGCTTTGGCTTACGCCAAAACAACTCATGCAAATTTTCGCATGTTCGGACGCATGTTCGAACACAACAAATATGCATACAGAACGAAAAAAATGGATGTATTTTTTGACAGAAAATTTTATTTTTTAACAAATACAAGGAACTAAATGTTCTTAGAAGAGATTTATATTTTTATAATGAGTAACTTGTTCAAATGGATGATTTGCAGGTCTTCCCCAGAGATTTTTCGTTGTTTTGTCGAGCTGCTCAATTTGAATTCTCAGCACTTCGTAGCATTGACAGGGCTCGTTTTATACTGCACCAAGCACTACGTTTATATCCAGATAGAACGGAATTATGGATATGCCTTTTAGAATTGGAATTGGACAATATCAAATGGTAAGTGTTTTCCCGCACTATGTGTTTAAAGCTCTCCCCGTAACTTGCATTTACGCAAAGTGAATTAACATTGCTGACGATGTTGAATGAGTACAGAAGCCTGTTTATGGCATTATTTGCAACTTTCAGTTCTGCGTCTCAGCCAACGAGACATTTTTTTCTTTTATAAAGCAACATTGGAACATAGAAATAAATTAGCATGTCAAATTTTGCCCTAAGACTTTATTTATGGAAATGCGAAAATAGCTCCACTGTTCTGCGTGACTTAGTTATACATATATAACATTTTTTTTTAAATTGCTCTGTTAAAATTTTGGGGAAATACATAATGAAAATGATAAGTTCCACTTTCTTGCGATAGAAAGAGCCTTTTACGCACGTGAATTGTTAGTGTTAGCAAAGTTTTGTAGCCGTTGCTGCATAAGAAAAAAAAATTCCATATGCACTAATTTACAAATTGTTCACGATAGTCTTTGTTAGCCGACTAATAAGATTCTTCGATGAACAGCAGCCGAAGGAGCAAGGAGCCAAATTTGCGCCCAAAGCAGCTGCTGAAAAGTACACAGGAATTGCGACTTCCCCTATATCCTGCTCGTTGATTGCTAAAAACCGTTTGATTTCGGGAATACGTAGAACAACAATCAGCCTGAGAGTGCAAGCCTTAAGACCGTCATGCGTATGCAGCCGGCAGGTGCATCCTAACAGCCATCTTATCCTCATTCCTGTGTGTCCAGACAGTTTTGATGCAACACTGTATCGCGGATTTAGACCTGAAAAACCTGATTTGTCCGAGAAGATCTCATTGGCCCATTGATTTTCGTCGAATAGGTTCTTGCAGAATTCATACTGAGGTGATTCTGTGGAGATTCTGCGCTGCTTTTGCATCTGATCTGTACCGTGAAGTTCCTCTTTATCTTGGGAAAACTGTTCCTGTTTCTTTTAGGTTATTGGGACGACGGAGTATTCTGACAGAAAATTTTCACCCGGACACATCATTAATGGGTGAGAGGCGCGAAATGAAAGTTGCCCATGAGGCGCAGAAGGACCCGAATAAGAAAATAAATGTAGAAGGCAAAAGTGAATTAGATGCGGTAATGAGCCTTCGTACCGCTGAAGCAGTCGCCAATCGAGCTTTGGAAGCCTGCAAGTCCGAAAAAAGTGGTACGTTTCGCAAGAGATTTTCTTTATAACTGTAACATAATAATTTTTGTTGTTTATTGGCCGGATAAAACACATCAAAATTCGCAAAGATTTCCAAAAATTCACATAATGCAATTAGAAAAACCCAGGTTGGGACGTACCGGGCTTGTCGGTGCGATCATTCATTTTGTACAACTCTGTCCAACGACGCTTGTTGCATTAAACTTGAAGCAGTCAGGTTGTTAACTGTATGAACGATTATTGCTTTAACTTATGTATTTTTCAGTTTAAAGCGTCGTAAAGTTCGTATAAACGAAAATGAGTAATTTTCATCGAACAGTGTTTCTTTGGAAATAACCCAGCTGTTCATTGAGCAACTTCCCCGCCAATGTTTTTGTTTGTCCGTACGTGAAAATCACACACGCCTGGGGCCGAATTTGAAATACTTAAGCCGTACTTGGAGACTGCCTTAAAATTTCAGCTTTCCGGCTTTTCTGGTTTTCGAGCTAGCAGTTTTCTTGCAAAAAACTTTCACATAACCCTTACGTAAGGGCCACACATACTTGGGGACCAAATTTGAAATCTTTGAGTTGTACTTGGATGAGGAGATCCCTTTAAAGCTTCAGGTCACCAGTTTTTCTTGTTTTTGAGTTAGCAATTTTTACGCCAAAAGTTTCGCCCTCCCGTACATGAAGCTCAGACACGCGCGAAAGTTGTTACCACGTTCGTGAGGTCACATTTGGCCAGGGAACCCATTGGCAAGATTTCAGCATCAAGCCTGCTTGGTTATCGAGTTGAAATACCGGGCAAACACGTATACACACACAACGCATACACCCACATCCCATACACGCATATACGCACAAACTCATACACACACACAAATGCGCGCACATGTACACCATGGGTTCTCAAATCATGCGTTTTTGCATTTGCATACTACATGCATAAAAACCGCGTTTTTTATGAAAGGAAGTTTGTTTCGCCATCGAATTACTCTCAGTTCACATACCTTAATGTTCGTTTTTCTTGAAGCTATACTTTACTGTTGCTTGCAGCGTTATTGTTGAGTTTTTGGCGAATTACGAAGCGGTATGGTGTAGTGGCGAAGCGACTAACAACGCAGTTTTATGAAAAACTCTGGACGCCGGAATATAAGAGCGAGGAAAGCTGGATAGCAAAGTCCGAATTAATCAGCTATGTAAGTTCTTCATTTTACGCTTCAAGAATCCCACTTCTGGTTTTGGATCTTTGAGATTTTGCGCAGGCGGGTGGATCAAAGTCTTTTCAATTTTTTCGTCTTTTTTGAGAGGGAGAGCTCAAAATTCAACATTCCGGCAACATTTTATCAGCAGGAACCACGTATTGGTAAGATTGTTGATGATTCCTTGTTCGGAGGTTGCTTTAAGTAGTGAGCTGAAAATAGAATTTTAATTCTTCTAATAAAAAAAGTTTTGCTCATTTTCATCCCGTTTTTAATGGGCCTTCGGGGTTGTAAAGTATAGCCAGTGTGCTAATACTAAAAATTGCTCCCTGAGGCAAAGTGGTTGGAATTTTTTTCAGGATGAGGATTCTCTGTATGAATTGTTTGACGAAGCTTGCCGCGATCAGCCCACAGAAAAAATG